ATTAGTAAAGGTATCCAATAGATACTAAAGTGACCCACGCTTTTCTTTATAGTTATTTAAATAGTAGTCTATAATTTATTTTCTACTTTTTAGTGCATCATTACATAAAAGCTTGTTATTAAAACGTTTTTTATGAATTTTTTGTTGCATGTTGACGTCATATATAACTCACGTTCGAATAAATTAGTGTACAAATAACACATTTGGAACATAAACTCTCACAAAATCTGGATAAAAATTAAAGTTTTTGTGAAATGTAAATCTATTTTATTGAGAAAAAAATGCATATATTTGTTGTGTGTTGGTTCTTAGTATGTTTTGAGGTTACAAATTAAAATTCTGGGTTCATTAATTTCATGCTCTTTTAATTGTAGGAAGTGGTCTCCAAAGACGGCTTGATGAAGGTAGGTGAAATTAAACTTGTCCAACATACACCTAGCTACAACACCTTGCCCACTATACAGTTGACCACTACACACTTGCCAACATACAACTGACCACTACACACTTGCCAACATACAACTGACCACTACACACTTGCCCACTATACAGCTGACCACTACAAACTTGCCCACTATACAGTTGACCACTACACACTTGCCCACTATACAGCTGACCACTACACACTTGCCCACTATACAGTTGACCACTACACACTTGCCCACTATACAGTTGACCACTACACACTTGCCCACTATACAGCTGACCACTACACACTTGCCCACTATACAGTTGACCACTACACACTTGCCCACTATACAGCTGACCACTACACACTTGCCCACTATACAGCTGACCACTACACACTTGCCCAACATACAGCTGACCACTACACACTTGCCCACTATACAGCTGACCACTACACACTTGCTTACTATACAGCTGACCACTACACACTTTCCCACTATACAGCTGACCACTACACACTTGCCCACTATACAGTTGACCACTACACACTTGCCCAATATACAGCTGACCACTACACACTTGCCCACTATACAGTTGACCGCTACACACTTGCCCAATATACAGCTGACCACTACACACTTGCCCACTATACAGCTGACCACTACACACCTGCCCACTATACAGTTGACCACTACACACTTGCCCCAACATACAGCTGACCACTACACACTTGCCCAATATACAGCTGACCACTACACACTTGTCCAATATACAGCTGACCACTACACACTTGTCCAATATACAGCTGACCACTACACACTTGCCCATTATACAGCTGACCACTACACACTTGCCCACTATACAGCTGACCACTACACACTTGCCCACTATACAGTTGACCACTACACACTTGCCCAACATACAGCTGACCACTACACACTTGCCCAACATACAGCTGACCACTACACACTTGCCCACTATACAGCTGACCACTACACACTTGCCAACATACAGCTGACCACTACACACTTGCCCACTATACAGCTGACCACTACACACTTGCCCAACATACAGCTGATCACTACACACTTGCCCACTATACAGCTGACCACTACACACTTGCCCAACATACAGCTGACCACTACACACTTGACCAACATACAGCTGACCACTACACACTTGCCCAACATACAGCTGACCACTACACACTTGCCCAACATACACTTGCCCACTATACAGTTGACCACTACACACTTGCCCAACATACAGCTGACCACTACACACTTGCCCAACATACAGTTGACCACTACACACTTGCCCAACATACACCTGACCACTACACACTTTCTCTATACACCTGACCACTACACACTTGCCCACTATACATTCGACCACTACACACTTGCCCAACATACAGCTGACCACTACACACTTGCCCAACATACAGTTGACCACTACACACTTGCCCAACATACAGTTGACCACTACACACTTGCCCACTATACAGCTGACCACTACACACTTGCCCACTATACAGCTGACCACTACACACTTGCCCAACATACAGTTGACCACTACACACTTGCCCACTATACAGCTGACCACTACACACTTGCCCACTATACAGCTGACCACTACACACGTGTCCAACATACATCTAACCACTACACACTTGCCCACAACACACTTGCCCACTGACGCACGAAACTAACCAAACTTTCTGGAAGTTCCCCCTCCCCCAACTCAATCTATTTTTAGCATAATTGCCAGTCCCTCCCGGAGCCGAACTTGTCGATAAAGTTTCCCCAAAGAGTGCCTGCCCCGGGGTCAGGCCGGTCGGTGGGTTGTCGTATATAAACTACACCCCGCTCCGGTCGATTCGAATGAGCGTCGTTGCTTCAGTTTACACATAGAGGCTTTTAGAGTTGATTGCATCTTGCTAGAATACACATAGCTGGCTTCCATCTTGTGTAGCGTGGGCCGCCCCCACACATACATACCGCACATCCCACATAAATAAACCTCCCACACTTTGTCTTGCTAGTTTACACATCGTGTAATGTTGGCCACACCCACAAATACGCCACTCATGATCCCACATGTCCCCACACTTAGCACCGCACATAATTCCATTGGTACCCCCACAATTATCCCAACACATACATCCCTCATTTCCCTCACACTTTCACTTCATCTTGCTGACTGACGTCACATGTGACGTAGGCGACCCCTCACAGACCACATACATAACCGCATGCCGCATACATAACACCGCATATACCACATACATAACCGCATACATAACACCGCATATACCCTCACAACAAATTCACCTTACGACTACCTAACACTTTAACTTCATCTTGAATACATCAAATGAATTCATCACATGTATTCAGTGGCGTCGCTATGTCAGATGTCACCCGGTGCAGCACCTAATGGTTTCCACCCCCCCCCCTTAAACCAAAGGAAAAATTTATATATAGTTGTTATTGGTGTCACGTTACCCACTACCATTTTACCAAATGTTGTGAATTTGTGCATACATTACTTTTATACAACATCATTTAAAGTGGGAAAAAAGCAAAGTTTTTATAGATGAAAAGCATGTTTCTTCTATATATTTTGCAATTTTCTTTGTCTTGGTGTCACTCTCCTACACGATATCACCCGGTGCGGTCCGCAACCCCCGCCCCGCCCCTGCATGAATTGTACACACCCACCTCTCACACACACCCCACACATACGCCTACACTTTAACGTTTTTAAATACCTACGGAATCAACACCAACGTACTTGTAGTAACAACAGCCTTAAAGTACAGTACACCAAACAGCATCGGACAGTCTAGCTCTAGTGAGATGTTTGAAACAACTACAGAGCTGCATTTTGACGTTTGACGTGCTGCACTTTGACGTGCTGCACTTTGCCATGTACGAGCTGCACTTTGACGTGTACGAGCTGCACTTTGACGTGTACGAGCTGCACTTTGACGTGTACGAGTTGCACTTTGACGTTTGACGTGCTGCGCTTTGACGTATACGAGTTGCACTTTGACGTGCTGCGCTTTGACGTATACGAGTTGCACTTTGACGTGCTGCGCTTTGACGTATGCGAGTTGCACTTTGATGTGCTGCACTTTGACGCATACGAGTTGCACTTTGCTGCACTTTGACGTGCTGCACTTTGACGTGTACGAACTGCAGTTTGACGTGTACACTTCCTTTAAAATTTGTGCCAGTTTTCAAAGCACCAAACTACTCCGATATTTTTACTGAACTGGCTTGATTAAATCTTTGCCTTGAAAGGCTTGGTGGAATCCTTTAAAACAACATTGTGTACATTGATTTTTACGGACTTTATCCAGGATAAATGTATCTAGCAAATCTGGCATATAGAAGAAAGCATACAAAAGAAAGCCGTTGTTGGCTGCAAATGACATTAGGAAAATATGTTGTGGCCAGAGTTTTTTACTTTCTCGTATACGTAGAACATCTACCACTACATATAAAACATCTACCACTATACATAAAACATCTACCGCTACACGTAAAACATCTACCACTACGCGTAAAACATCTACCACTACACGTAAAAGATCTAACACTACACATAAAACATCTACCACTACACATAAAACATCTACCACTACACGTAAAAGATCTAACACTACACGTAAAACATCTACCACTACACATAAAACATCTACCACTACACATAAAACATCTATCACTACACATAAAACATCTACCACTACACATAAAACATCTACCACTACACATAAAACATCTACCACTACACATAAAACATCTACCACTACACATAAAACATCTACCACTACACATAAAACATCTACCACTACACATAAACATCTATCACTGCACATAAAACAGCTATCACTAACACTACATATAAAACATCTACCACTACACGTAAAACATCTACCACTACACGTAAAACATCTACCACTACACATAAAACATCTACCACTACACATAAAACATCTATCACTACACATAAAACATCTACCACTACACATAAAACATCTACCACTACACATGAAACATCTACCACTACGCATAAAACATCTACCACTACACATAAAACATCTACCACTACACATAAAACATCTACCACTACACATAAAACATCTACCACTACATATAAAACATCTACCACTACATATAAAACATCTACCACTACACATAAAACATCTACCGCTACACGTAAAACATCTACCACTACACGTAAAACATCTAACACTCCACGTAAAACATCTACCACTACACATAAAACATCTACCACTACACATAAAACATCTACCACTACACATAAAACTACCACTACACGTAAAACATCTACCACTACACATAAAACATCTACCACTACACACACTACACATAAAACTACCACTACACGTAAAACATCTACCACTACACATAAAACATCTACCACTACACACACTACACATAAAACATCTACCACTACACTTAAAACATCTACCACTACACTTAAAACATCTACCACTACACATAAAACATCTACCACTACACATAAAACAACTACCACTACGCATAAAACATCTACCACTACACATAAAACATCTACCACTACACATAAAACATCTACCACTACACATAAAACATCTACCACTACACATAAAACATCTACCACTACACATAAAACATCTACCACTACACATAAAACATCTACCACTACACATAAAACTACCACTACGCATAAAACATCTACCACTACATATAAAACATCTACCACTACACATAAAACATCTACCACTACACATAAAACATCTACCACTACACGTAAAAGATCTAACACTACACGTAAAACATCTACCACTACACATACAACATCTACCACTACACATAAAACATCTACCACTACACATAAAACATCTACCACTACACATAAAACATCTACCACTACACATAAACATCTATCACTGCACATAAAACAGCTATCACTAACACTACATATAAAACATCTACCACTACACGTAAAACATCTACCACTACACGTAAAACATCTACCACTACACATAAAACATCTACCACTACACATAAAACATCTATCACTACACATAAAACATCTACCACTACACATAAAACATCTACCACTACACATGAAACATCTACCACTACGCATAAAACATCTACCACTACACATAAAACATCTACCACTACACATAAAACATCTACCACTACACATAAAACATCTACCACTACATATAAAACATCTACCACTACATATAAAACATCTACCACTACACATAAAACATCTACCGCTACACGTAAAACATCTACCACTACACATAAAACATCTACCACTACGCATAAAACATCTACCACTACACATAAAACATCTACCACTACACATAAAACATCTACCACTACACGTAAAACATCTAACACTACACGTAAAACATCTACCACTACACGTAAAACATCTACCACTACACATAAAACATCTACCACTACACATAAAACATCTACCACTACACATAAAAATACCACTACACGTAAAACATCTACCACTACACATAAAACATCTACCACTACACACACTACACATAAAACTACCACTACACGTAAAACATCTACCACTACACATAAAACATCTACCACTACACACACTACACATAAAACATCTACCACTACACTTAAAACATCTACCACTACACTTAAAACATCTACCACTACACATAAAACATCTACCACTACACATAAAACAACTACCACTACGCATAAAACATCTACCACTACACATAAAACATCTACCACTACACATAAAACATCTACCACTACACATAAAACATCTACCACTACACATAAAACATCTACCACTACACATAAAACATCTACCACTACACATAAAACATCTACCACTACACATAAAACTACCACTACGCATAAAACATCTACCACTACATATAAAACATCTACCACTACACATAAAACATCTACCACTACATATAAAACATCTACCACTACACGTAAAACATCTAACACTACACGTAAAACATCTACCACTACACATAAAACATCTACCACTACACATAAAACATCTATCACTACACATAAAACATCTACCACTACACATAAAACATCTACCACTACACATAAAACATCTACCACTACACATAAAACATCTACCACTACACAAAAAACATCTACCACTACACATAAAACATCTACCACTACACATAAACATCTATCACTGCACATAAAACAGCTATCACTAACACTACATATAAAACATCTACAACTACACGTAAAACATCTACCACTACACGTAAAACATCTACCACTACACATAAAACATCTACCACTACACATAAAACATCTATCACTACACATAAAACATCTACCACTACACATAAAACATCTACCACTACACATGAAACATCTACCACTACGCATAAAACATCTACCACTACACATAAAACATCTACCACTACACATAAAACATCTACCACTACACATAAAACATCTACCACTACATATAAAACATCTACCACTACACATAAAACATCTACCGCTACACGTAAAACATCTACCACTACACGTAAAACATCTACCACTACACATAAAACATCTACCACTACACACACTACACATAAAACTACCACTACACGTAAAACATCTACCACTACACATAAAACATCTACCACTACACACACTACACATAAAACATCTACCACTACACTTAAAACATCTACCACTACACTTAAAACATCTACCACTACACATAAAACATCTACCACTACACATAAAACAACTACCACTACGCATAAAACATCTACCACTACACATAAAACATCTACCACTACACATAAAACATCTACCACTACACATAAAACATCTACCACTACACATAAAACATCTACCACTACACATAAAACATCTACCACTACACATAAAACATCTACCACTACACATAAAACTACCACTACGCATAAAACATCTACCACTACATATAAAACATCTACCACTACACATAAAACATCTACCACTACACATAACATCTACCACTACACATAAAACTACCACTACGCATAAAACATCTACCACTACACATAAAACATCTACCACTTCACACAAAACATCTACCACTACACATAAAACATCTACCACTACACATAAAACTACCACTACGCATAAAACATCTACCACTACATATAAAACATCTACCACTACACATAAAACATCTACCACTACACATAACATCTACCACTACACATAAAACTACCACTACGCATAAAACATCTACCACTACACATAAAACATCTACCACTTCACACAAAACATCTACCACTACACACAAAACATCTACCACTACACATAAAACATCTACCACAACACATAAAACATCTACCACTACACTTAAAACATCTACCACTACACATAAAACAGCTACCACTACACATAAAACATCTACCACTACATATAAAACATCTACCACTACACATAAAACATGTACCACTAGGCTAACTTATTACTGGTATTTTTCTGCTGTCCGTTTGTCGATCGCCATTGGCCATCAATGACGGATGGCCTGTTCCCGGCTAATCAAGTTCTGTGTTGATGAGAACAAACAGCCCGCTCCATATTTCATTAGCTGTGTAGCCAGTCTAGGGCCTATAACTCTGTATAACGTAAGACGGGATAAAGTACTGGGTAAAAAAACACGGTTATCTCTCTTTTATCATCCATTTGTTTTGTCATAAATTCTAGGAAAAAATGAATGTCATTTGGGTGGGTGTTCACCGCATACCCAGCGGGGTGGGTGGGGAGGGGGGTGGGTGGGGAGGGGGTGGGTGGGGAGGGGGAGGGTGGGGATGGGTGAGGCATGCCTTAACAACCTGATAGACAACTATGTGAAATAGGTGAACTGATGTTCAGTCTCGATTGTGTGTATGTTTTATTTGTCTATGTATCAGTTGAGCTCAACACACTCAAGACTTAGTGTGGAAGCATCCAAATATTTCTAACGAGTCGACCCGCTGCTTAGCATACGCCGCTAGTTGTTTTAATTTCTACTTTTTAGTAATTCATAATTTGTAAATTCGACACTACACTTACACCCCCCTCCCTGCTCCCCTTAGTTTCAAATTATCTGCCCCAAATAGCCGTCACAGATTCGACCCGGCTGTACGATTGTAAACATTCGGGGTGAACCACAGCTCACCAGACTGGTGGGGGGGGGGGGGGTAGCGAAATGGTCTGTTGCGCATGCCTGGAGAGCGAGAGAGGGGGCGGGAGGATGTTTAGATAGTCAGCTTGCGTCGTCTTGCCCATGAAGAGAATTATATATACAGATAACTATATTTATAGATTTGTAATTAAGCAATTTAGTTTCAATTCAAAACATATTTTATTGAACAAATTTAAATTCAATTTAAATTAAAAGAAAACAAACACATTAAAAACGTTTTTAAAATGCATCAGTAAAACGTCTCCTTAAGCTAGAAATGTTGAAAAATTTTATCATGTGTTGTGTTATATAAAAGCTTGAATTTTTTTCACGAAATTACTATAGCGTTTGCTAATATCATTTGTTCGCTATTTGCTTTCAGCCCTCAACAACTTCGAGAAAGGATACATGACATTCCACCAACACTTAACTCTATTTATTAACGCGCTGGACAATACGTACCGGCGAGATTTACCTTTCGACCGACAAAAAATGATAGACGCATTCAAAAGAATCCCACAGATCCTTCCTCTAAATGACGAATCGTTCGCATTCCAAGACACGAAAAAGTTAATTCTAAAATGGAATGACTTGTCTAGAACTGCTCAGCGCTATCTTAAATTGCTGCCCAGCATAATCAAACCGGAGAAAGCACCAGGGATACGGACGTATATCTCGCAGCTGCGGACAGAGTTAGATATGGTGAAGTCTTATGCTACTCAGCTTTCCGTCATAAACAAGGAACTTCCGAAAGGTACATTTTAAATACTTAATAAATTGCTATGTACGTTAGAAGTAGCAATGTCAATTTCAATATGTAATATACAGACATACAACAATAAATAAATACGCGCATAAATGCAGGCATTAAAACATGCTGAGGTACGGACAAGATTGAAGGACACACGCACGCAAACACACATACAGACACGTAGACTACATTTATGCACAAATGAGCTACTAAAATCGTAATTTAGCAAGTGAAAACATGTGCTAATGTCACACAGATAATTATTCTAGAGAATTTAAGTTAATAATCAATTTCAAATCAAATTTATTAACACTTGATGGCTAAATAGAATATAACGTTAAACATCGTTTTTTTTCTAATTGTTTTTATATTGATCCTTTTCAGCACTTCCGCCTGGCATTGGCGGCGCCAACCTTTCCCCACCCTTGCCGTATGTTTGTGATTTATGGTAAGTCAATGTGGGAAGCTTATCTGACCTTTATAAGTCAATGTGAAGGGCTCAGTGGAAAAAGTACTTAAGTGTATTTTGAGAGTTTTGAGAAAAATGAGTGCAAAGTTTTTAAATTGTTATTGAAATACCAAAACAGCTGATGCAGAGTATTTAAATTAAGCTACTTCGGTACTTTTTCCATGGCTCAAATTTGCAGGGATGGTTAAGGGTAGGTAATCAAATGATATACCGGTCTTAACTCATTTTTGGCAAAATGTAACTTAAGTACTTTTTCCACTGAGCCCTTCATGTGGGAAGCTTGTCTTAAGTCAATGTGGGAAGTTTGTCTGACCTTTATGATAAGTCAATGTGGGAAGCTTGTCTAAAGTCAATGTGGGAAGTTTGTCTGACCTTTATGGTAAGTCAATGTGGGAAGCTTGTCATAAGTCAATGTGGGAAGCTTGTCATAAGTCAATGTGGGAAGCTTGTCATAAGTCAATGTGGGAAGCTTGTCATAAGTCAATGTGGGAAGCTTGTCATAAGTCAATGTGGGAAGCTTGTCATAAGTCAATATGGGAAGCTTGTCTGACCTTAAAATACACCGACACTTCTCCAGGCCTTACGTGACCTGTTTAAAACATCATTAGCACCACATCATAAACACCACATCACTAGCACCACATCACTAGCATCACATAATAAACACCATATCACTGGCACCACATCATCAACACCATATCACTAGCATCACATCATAAACACCATATCACTAGCACCACATCATCAACACCATATCACTAGCACCACACCATACACCATATCACTAGCACCACACCATACACCATATCACTAGCACCACACCATACACACCATATCACTAGCACCACAACATCAACACCATATCACTAGCACCACACCATACATTATATCACTAGCACCACATCATAAACACCATATCACCACATCATCAACACCATATCACTAGCACCACATCATCAACACCATATCACTAGCACCACATCATCAACACCATATCACTAGCACCACATCATCAACACCATATCACTGGCACCACATCATAAACACCATATCGCTAGCACCATATCATCAACACCATATCATTAGCACCACATCATAAACACCATATCATTAGCACCACATCATAAACACCATATCACTAGCACCACATCATCAACACCATATCACTAACACCACATCATCAACACCATATCACTAGCACCACATCATCAACACCATATCATTAGCACCACATCATACACCATATCAATAGCACCACACCATAAACACCATATCACTAGCACCACATCATCAACACCATATCAATAGCACCACATCATAAACGCCATATCACTAGCACTACATCATCAACACCGTATCACTAGCACCACACCATACACCATATCACTAGCACCACATCCTAAACACCATATCACTAGCACCACATCATCAACACCATATCACTAGCACCACATCATCAACACCATATCATTAGCACCACATCATAAACACCATATCACTAGCACCACACCATACACCATATCACTAGCACCACATCATAAACACCATATCACTAGCACCACATCATCAACACCATATCACTAGCACCACATCATCAACACCATATCACTAGCACCACACCGTACACCATATCACTAGCACCACATCATAAACACCATATCACTAGCACCTCATCATCAACACCATATCATTAACACCACATCATAAACACCATATCACTAGTACCACATCATCAACACCATATCATTAGCACCACATCATAAACACCATATCACTAGCATCACATAATCAACACCATATCACCAGCACCACATCATCAACACCATATCACTAGCACCACATCATCAACACCATATCAATAGCACCACATCATAAACGCCATATCACTAGCACCACATCATCAACACCATATCACTAGCACCACACCATACACCATATCACTAGCACCACATCCTAAACACCATATCACTAGCACCACATCATCAACACCATATCACTAGCACCACATCATCAACACCATATCATTAGCACCACATCATCAACACCATATCACTAGCACCACATCATAAACACCATATCACTAGCACATCATCAACACCATATCACTAGCACCACATCATCAACACCATATCACTAGCACCACATCATAAACACCATATCACTAGCACCACACCATAAACACCATATCACTAGCACCACATCATCAACACCATATCACCACATCATCAACACCATATCACTAGCACCACATCATCAACACCATATCACCACATCATCAACATCATATCACTAGCACCACATCATTGCAACACCCCTAACGACAGAGTTCTAACATTGCACAACATTGTCTTTTAGCATCTTGCAACTACCCCACCCCCTCGCACCCCTTTCTCCGCCAAGCACAAGCACAAAATATTCTTAAATATTAACATTGATTTCTTTCTCCACCAGTAAAAATATTAACCAAGAGCTGAAAAAATTCGAGAAATGATTGACTTAGTGACAGCTTGTGAGCATCTCCAACTTCAACCCCCTTTATGCCAGCAGGAGTTACAGTTCCTAGAACTTCCGAGGGTGAACCTAAACATTTCATCCTTACCGTCAGCCAGACGATTGGAAATGGAAGGTCAACGTCTTCTGCTAACCGCTTTGACCTATATCTTCCTTTTTTTCGTAGTTGAACTACTTCCATCTATAATAATAGTTTCGCTATTCTGTCTGTCCCACAAGAACGCTGTAGAGAAAACAAAAGGAAATTTTAAAGTTTCACAGGGAACTGTTGTGAGGTCACATGAAACTAATAGCAATTTATTATAACGAAGCAAAATTTGAACAGTTTTAAAGCAGGAAAAGTACACACAATAAAATTACGTTATTGATTCTAGAGTAAACATAGAATTGAAAAAATGCCGAAAACAATACACAAAAATAATGGCGTTATTGATACTCGATAATAAAAAAAAATTGACATTACCGCCTAATTTGGTGGGCGGGGGAGGGCAAATCTTGGAAAAATTTGATAAAATTAAAATGTCATTAAATGTGAACATTAATGGCTTACTGTGACAGCTATAATGACATTGAGTCTGTGCATTGACAGGAAGTTATGCCAATTACAATGACATACTACAATGACAGCTAATTATGACACCTACAATTCCATCTGTACAGCAACCACCACTAGGTTTTTAAATATTTCTATCTCGGTGATGTTATTCTTATTTGACATGATTTCTATGTGTGATTGACTGTCCTCTTTGAATGGTTGCTCTATTATAATTTTGTTTTGAAAGGTTAGTCTTTTATAATATTGTCTTGAATGATTTGTTTTTGGTTGTTGAGTTTTAAACGGTTGGTGTGTGTATGTCATCCCTTGATGGTTGGTGTTTGACTCTTATATCTTTAAATGAATGGTCATCTTGAATAGTTGGATATGCCTGCAATCTTTCGAAAAGTTGTTGATTGTTGTTGATTGTCAGTTAATTCTTTACCTGTTTGATGGTTTTCTGTCTTATATTTCAATATTAATTGGGTTTTTAGTCGTGTCGACGTCTTTCATTTATTGTTGGAAATATCGCTATTTCATTAAAAATAAATCTATCGCACTTCACGTTTTTTTGTTATTTTTTCAAAACCAAAAACCACTAACATTAAATATTTACTGAGCTGTATTTATTCATTAAATGGAAGAAAATATAATAATTATCTTTAATTAAATAATGTGCCACTATTAATAGATTTATGGCGTGGTCGAGTCGGTAAAGCTCACGATTGCTAAACCGAAAAGTCTCGAGTTCGAACCCTCTGGCAGATAAGGCTCGATCGCTTCCAACACTAAAAATTAAGAACGAAGAAGAAGAAAAGATTTGTAAAGAAAAGCTCATTGAATTTTTAAAAATGATATAAGTTGAAAATAAATATTTATACTATCCTCTTTCAGAAGATTTAAAAACGGGTGTAGCGACATAATTATGATTGTACTATATTTCTCGAAGCTTTTAAATATTTTCCGATTCAATAAACCGATTTTTAAATTTCTTCAATAATTCCTGATATAACAACTCACTCTTTTGTTTACAGTTCTATAAACTGTGGTAAATTATTTATTAATCATTACGGTAAATTTTCATAACCTAATAGACTAATTAGAAATTTAAAATTATCAAATGACACAAAAAGATTATCTGAAGATGACATTTACACGATTACAAACAAAACAGGCCGTCTGTAAGATCCAGTTCACAGTCAACAAACTCTAACAATACAAGCCGTCGCTCAATTCAACGTGTGTAACAACGTGTGTAACAACGTGTGTAACAACGTGTGTAACAACGAGTGTAACAACGTGTGTAACAATATGTGTAACGTGTGTAACAACGTGTGTAACAACGTGTGTAACAACGTGTGTAACAACGTGTGTAACAACGTGTGTAACAACGTGTGTAACAAAGTTTGTAACGTGTGTAACAACGTGTGTAACAATATGTGTAACGTGTGTAACAACGTGTGTAATAACGTGTGTAACAACGTGTGTAACAATATGTGTAACGTGTGTAACAACGTGTGTAACGTGTGTAACGTGTGTAACAACGTGTGTAACAACGTGTGTAACAACGTGTGTAATAACGAGTGTAACAACGTGTGTAACAACGTGTGTAACAACGTGTGTAACAATATGTGTAACGTGTGTAACAACGTGTGTAACGTGTGTAACGTGTGTAACAACGTGTGTAACAACGTGTGTAACAACGTGTGTAACGTGTGTAACAACGTGTGTAACAACGTGTGTAACAACGTGTGTAACGTGTGTAACAACGTGTGTAACAACGTGTGTAACAACGTGTGTAACAACGTGTGTAACAATATGTGTAACGTGTGTAACAACGTGTGTAACGTGTGTAACAACGTGTGTAACAACGTGTGTAACAACGTGTGTAACAACGTGTGTAACAACGTGTGTAACAACGTGTGTAATAACGTGTGTAACAACGTGTGTAACAATATGTGTAACGTGTGTAACAACGTGTGTAACAACGTGTGTAACAACGTGTGTAACAATATGTGTAACGTGTGTAACAACGTGTGCAACGTGTGTAACAACGTGTGTAACAACGTGTGTAACAACGTGTGTAACAACGTGTGTAACAACGTGTGTAACAACGTGTGTAACAACGTGTGTAACAATATGTGTAACGTGTGTAACAACGTGTGTAACGTGTGTAACAACGTGTGTAACGTGTGTAACAACGTGTGTAACAACGTGTGTAACAACGTGTGTAATAACGTGTGTAATAACGAGTGTAACAACGTGTGTAACAACGTGTGTAACAACGTGTGTAACAACGTGTGTAACAACGTGTGTAACAACGTGTGTAACAACGTGTGTAACGTGTGTAACAACGTGTGTAACAACGTGTGTAACAACGTGTGTAACAACGTGTGTAACAACGTGTGTAACAACGTGTGTAACAACGTGTGTAACAACGTGTGTAACAACGTGTGTAACGTGCGTAACAACGTGTGTAACAACGTGTGTAACAACGTGTGTAACAACGTGTGTAACAACGTGTGTAACAACGTGTGTAACAACGTGTGTAACGTGTGTAACAACGTGTGTAACAACGTGTGTAACAACGTGTGTAACAACGTGTGTAACAACGTGTGTAACAACGTGTGTAACAACGTGTGTAACAACGTGTGTAACGTGCGTAACAACGTGTGTAACAACGTGTGTAACAACGTGTGTAACAACGTGTGTAACAACGTGTGTAACAACGTGTGTAACAACGTGTGTAACAATGTGTGTAACAACGTGTGTAACAACGTGTGTAACAACGTGTGTAACAATATGTGTAACGTGTGTAACAACGTGTGTAACGTGTGTAACAACGTGTGTAACAACGTGTGTAACAACGTGTGTAACGTGTGTAACAACGTGTGTAACGTGTGTAACAACGTGTGTAACGTGTGTAACAACGTGTGTAACAACGTGTGTAACAACGTGTGTAATAACGTGTGTAATAACGAGTGTAACAACGTGTGTAACAACGTGTGTAACAACGTGTGTAACAACGTGTGTAACAACGTGTGTAACAACGTGTGTAACAACGTGTGTAACGTGTGTAACAACGTGTGTAACAACGTGTGTAACAACGTGTGTAACAACGTGTGTAACAACGTGTGTAACAACGCGTGTAACAATGTGTGTAACAACGTGTGTAACAACGTGTGTAACAACGTGTGTAACAATATGTGTAACGTGTGTAACAACGTGTGTAACGTGTGTAACAACGTGTGTAACAACGTGTGTAACAACGTGTGTAACAACGTGTGTAACAACGTGTGTAACAACGTGTGTAACAACGTGTGTAACAACGTGTGTAACAACGTGTGTAACAACGTATAAAGATGGGGCTCTCCAGTTAAATGCACAAATATGAATTATATTATTTCATTTTCAAAACTCATAAATATTATACTGTTAAGAAAAATTAACTTAAACAGGATGAAAACACTCATCAGATAACAAAGAGAATAGGTGAGGCAGACAGTATACGGATTGCTGACAGCTGCTTGGGCACCAGGCCCTGCCCCACGGCCGTGTTGTGGCCAGCCCCGTGGCTTACCACAGCCCAAGTGTCGACTTTTTGGAATATCGTTAAATGGAGAAGTCGTTTTATTCATAAAGCATTATTCTACCAGTCAGTATGCATTAATTTGACGTGAGTGACGTAGTATTTTAGTTATTAGCTTCCCACAATTGAGACATTTACTGGACTATAGGGTATGAGTTTACGTTACCCTGCATTCAGTGAGAACCAACGGACAAAAGCGACCGTTGCAGTAATCAAATCGATACCCTGTTAGCAGGGGCGGAACTACAGTTCCGCCAGACCCCGCAATGCGGGGGGGGGGGGGGGGGGGCACGCCACTTAGGGGCCCGCAGCCGACCATAATCATTTTATTTATAGTTTAAAAAATGTTCTTGCATTTTTGACTTAATGATTGTTTTGTAAAAAGATTACCGTAGCTGCGGTTGGATAATCTTTATTCTATAGACACCACCCCACGTTTTTGAATATTCTTGTTCCCTTTGTTTTTAATCCACTGTGAAAGCCGAGTCCTCTTTCTCCTACAATGAAACTTATCAAAGATAAGCAAACGTTCAAACCACTTCCATGACCATATATATATATATATATATATATATATATATATATATATATATATATATATATATATATATATATATATATATATATATATATATATATATATATATATATATATATATATATATATATATATATATGGGGGGTGACACCATCAGGTGCCGAACCGGGTGACACCCGACCTCGCTACGCCACTGGAACTGGGTCTCCAGACTGCTGCTTTATTAGCCTCCCCCCCCCCCCCCCATCTTTAATTCCTCACTGGCTGAGGATGTGTGTTCAATTGTATTTGTGTTTGATTACAAATGTGTCTGAGTGTGTAGGTACAAGATTGCGGTATCTGTCTGTGTTTGTGTTTGCTCGTGAATCAGTTGAATCAGCTATGAATACTTATTCGCCAGGAAAATATTTGCGTCTGTATTTAATCAAACAGGGATTAGACAAGAAACTAATTTTGTTTAAGTAATGCTCAGCCTCTGTAAGACTATAAATCCTATTGCTTTAATTACACATAAATGCCAGTTATATCACACACTGGATTCAAAGGGAACACCTTAACTTAACGTTCTTACCAACAATACAGTGGTTTATAACAGTTTATATTTAATGCTCACTTGCTCATTAGCAATGTAGCTATAAGCCAACCAGAGTTAAGTTATGAAAAATATGAAAATGTGATCATAACACTGCACTGGAATTGATTAAATAATGTTTTATTACAACAAATGGACGTTGTACTGCTGTTGCGCATCTGACAAAACAAACATTATTTTCAAAGATTTACAAGCAACAGTAATTATTACAAAATTCATAAATCACTTGTTTAATATTTCACTGAATTCTTAGATGGTTTAGTCTTTATTTACTTGATAACCTAAAGGTATAACAGTCATATATTATGGCACTTGTTAGAATACATATAACGGCCGTCTACTTGGTCACTTAATAGAATAGCTATAACAGCCGTCCACTAATCCTACAGTGAACCTAGTTGTAAAGACCGTCCATTACGGCACTTTTTGAACTAGCAATGACGGCCGTCTACTACGTCACCAGTGAACCTGGCTATAATGGCCGTCCACTACGTCACTAGTGAACCTGGCTATTATGGCCGTCCACTACGTCACCAGTGAACCTACCTATAATGGCCGTCCACTTCGTTTATTGCAAATTACAGCTAATATATCTTCTGTGTAACAAGTAATATAGGATATAACATTAAATATAACCTTCTACAATTAATCCACACATTTTAATTAAACTACTGAGTAATTAATTAAAAGTCCACAGCGAGAAAATTTCGAAATGAGCAATTATTACAAAGGTCTAGCCCAGGGGTCTCCAAACTACGGCCCGCGGGCCGGATGCGGCCCTCGAAGTCCTCTCATCCGGCCCGCGGAGATCTTTTTGTCCAAGGAAAAATCGTTTGTTGCTGATGGCTGAGGAACCTTGCCCAGAAAAATCAAAGACATTTCTGGAAGAAACTGGCCCCCGAACTGAAATTTGATAGTTAATGCGGCCGTCGGACTGAAAAGTTTGGAGACCCCTGGCTAGCCGGTCGATAAATGATACGTGTCGCACTACCATTGGTATCTTTTTAATGTAAGCTTGACATACATAGGCGGATCCAAATGATAAGTAAGTGGGTGGCTTAGCGAATAACCTTACCCAAGGGCTCGTCCGCTTTGATCCATACAGACAGACAGAGTAGGCAAGTTCAATACAAGCTTGTAAGAATACACAAATATTAAACAAGAAATCTTATTGCTCCTTCTTTGTGTTAAAGTGAGACAGAAATAAAAATTAGGAGGTGAATTCCTGCAGTTTCTTAATGTATTCAGAATTTTAAAAGAATTATTTTTTTTTGCACTTAAAACATTGAAATGCAACACATGAAGAAACTATTGATTCAAAGACGGCCAACTTGGGTTTTTTGGTGTACCGAAAAAATTGTATTTTTGCATGATTTTTATCAGAATGACAATAGTATAGTAACTTGTCTATATTTATCATCTTTTACCGTTGACGCCCGTTGGTTTTTTTTATATCATGAAATTAAGTCTTTATTGATTATTAATTAAAGTAAATGACAGAAACATTCAAATTATTTTATTGTACTATAGTCTCAATCAATATTATCACTTGTTACAACCAGTTGAACTTTTATGGCATTTAGAATTACATAGTAGCTTGTTATTTTTAAACTTGCAGCGATTTGTTGTGCACTTGGTTGTGCAATTACAGCGAGTGTAGCCTTGGCCCCCAGTCAATGATTGTGAAGATGCGATGGTTCGTAGTGATTTTTCCTCAGTGCCAACCGACGAGAATGCAGTTGTTTTAGAACACCATGTTCCGTTCCTAACTTGTAGAAAGCGCCCTCGACGCTCATGACAACTGCAATAACGCTTCGGGGATCACCGTGACCTCTGTCAACATCTGGTATACGGATGCGAACAAGCCTTCGTATGGCGATTGTTGGATTCCTTGATGAAGAGAAAGCTTTTTCATTAATTGAATGAATTTGTGACTCTCAGCCCAATGAGCTGATTCATTTGTCTGCATCCATGTCATCATCATGTTTTGAACATCTTGGTTGGTACGTTCAGGCCACATGTTCTTTAGTTCAGAAATATTTTGGCAGCCATCTGGTATGTCTGTCTCTTGGTCTGACGGCCCTTTTGGTCCATATTGCATTGCATATAGAATGCTATACAAACAAGAGCCAAACAATACGTTACTCACAATAAAACCGCACCCAGAATAATGAAAACGCGCTCACAACTTAGTCTAGATAGGACATTGGCCACGACATCCCGGCCAGTGCACGCATTGGCCGGCCAATGTACGAAATACGCTGCCAAGTTTAAGCGCTTCAGACTTGGCCAGTACGTCCCGGCCAGTGCGCGCATTGGCCGGCCAATGTACGAAATACGCTCTCTGTGTCATGCTCTTCGGGCTTTGGCCAAGAGAGCCGGCCAATGCGCACTTCGAGCTTTGACCGTAGCATATCTAAGTCTCCCTCCACCTTCACAGTCCCCTGTCAGGTGAACAGTCGAGCGCCATTGCTGTAACTTCGTGTGGTCTCACCCTTAATACACGGCACATCCAGCGCCATCTTTCTTCAGTTCATTCAGAAACAGTTTCAATTACTAAGTCTCCTGGAAACCTATAATTAAATATAGTATATGGCCAGTGGATGCCATTTATCGTTCATTGGTAGACGGCCCGGTAGGTCTAGTAACTATACAAAGCATCCAGTATGTAGATGGAAGAGATGGTTGTTTTCTAGCATTAACTGATATACAAAAGAATGGTTAAGACACTATTTTTTAAATAATCGGCATTCAGTCCCTTCCTTCGGTACCCAGTTATTATTTTTTTTTCAAAACATCTCGCTAGGCTTTAGTAATGCGTGTTTTATTGTCAGTAGTGTAGTTATCATCATAACTGACAATAATGTTTCAATATGTGAAAATCGCGTATAAATATATATACATATATATATATATATATATATATATATATATATATATATATATATATATATATATATATATATATATATATATATATATATATAAGAAGGAAAAAGAAGAAGATCTCACAAAACCATTTACTGAACAAGAAGCAGCATCTCTACAAACAGAAACATACAGAACTCAAGTAAGCAGCCAAACAAAAATATATCCTTATGTCAAGAGAATGGCAATACATTCAGGAGCTCGGGGCGAACTATCTGATTTACGCCTATATATTATATAGTTATACAAGCCTGTGCAAAACATGCCCCCTCCCCAACTCCCTCATTTGAAAAGGCTGGTGGCACTTTTAACAGTCACTATCCCGTAAAAGTTTTTATTTTGGTGCCATACATTTGATGTTGAAACAGTTACATTAGTGTGTAAAGTCACGTAACAGTTTATTTTCTTAACTGATTGTGTATCATTCTTAAAATAACCTTTTAAACTCTTTTCCACCCATTTTTGCGCCCCATTACATCAAAGGCTGTCTCAGTTAGACAGTGGCTGTCTTGGTCAGGCAGGGGCTGTCTAAGCTAGGCAGTGGCTGTCTAAGCTAGGCAGTGGCTGTCTAAGCTAGACAGTGGCTGTCATATGTTGCTTGGATTAGTGGCTGCTTAGGTTGGATATTGGTTGCTTGGGTTAGTGGTTGTCTTAGTTAGACAGTGGCTTATTGTGGGTTAGTAAGGTAAGACTTGGTTACACAGTGGCTTATTGTGGGTTAGTAAGGTAAGACTTGGTTGTACAGTGGCTTATTGTGGGTTAGTAAGGTAAGACTTGGTTATACAGTGGCTTATTGTGGGTTAGTAAGGTAAGACTTGGTTATACAGTGGCTTATTGTGGGTTAGTAAGGTAAGACTTGGTTGTACAGTGGCTTATTGTGGGTTAGTAAGGTAAGTCTTGGTTATACAGTGGCTTGTTGTGGGTTAGTAAGGTAAGTCTTGGTTATACAGTGGCTTGTTGTGGGTTAGTAAGGTAAGACTTGGTTATACAGTGGCTTATTGTGGGTTAGTAAGGTAAGACTTGGTTATACAGTGGCTTATTGTGGGTTAGTAAGGTAAGTCTTGGTTATACAGTGGCTTATTGTGGGTTAGTAAGGTAAGTCTTGGTTCTACAGTGTCAGAACAACTTTAATCTAGGTTATTGATATTTTACAAAATGACCGCCTGGAGAGTGAACAACTGCTGCAGCACGTGCAGCTTGAGCTGCATTAAAACAGCGGACCAATGGTAACGAACGGGAGACGTCACCCACACATACGGTTTGAAAATCTACCAGACTGCTGGGAGAAACGGATCTTAAAATAAGGTATGTATAGGATGTTAAACTAAGGACAGTTTTATGATGGCTGGTTTGCCATTATGTTACCAGATAAACAGAACATATATTTGGGCTAAGTTTTGTTTTAGTTTAAATGGAATGTACGCTTTCATAGTATTTAAAAATTATACATTTTTTATTTGGGTGTATTTTTATTGCTATTATGGTGAGAAAGATACCATTTACTATGGACCTTCGTGGCCTAGCGATATCGAGGTAGAACGTCCCTAAGACCACCAGTTCTGATGGGGACTTAACTCACGTTATTGAAAGTAAAGGAAGCTGCCCGTTATGCCGAAGACATTATCCCTACTTATGCCGAGGTCACAGAAATAATTGAACTCTTTTTCACTTGTTCTATGGACTGGTCCTCATTGTTCTAACATAAACACGATGTTTGTTAAAACAATGTCCAGCTTGTAATATTATTTAATCGATTAAAAGATAGGCCTGAACACTTAAAAGAAGACTAGCATTTCCTACTTGACAGCGGGCTGTAAAACTATTCATCGGACAGTGACCTTTACTCTGTACAGAGATATGGTGTGGCGGGGTGGGGGTTCGGAGCTCACCAATTGACACCGTGTAGGGGGGAGGGGGTGACACCCAGACAAAAATATTGCCAAATATATAGAAGAAACATGCTTTTTGCCATTTCAATAAATGATTAATACAGTTTTAAAAAATGTGACACCACATCCAATAATTTACAATGAAAACACTGCGTTTTTCCACTTGAATTGTAGTTGGATTAAAATAATGTGTGTACAAATTCACGCCGTAAGGCAAAATGGTAGAGGGCGACGTCACACCAATTACAACTATATTAATGCCTACGTATATATATAAATAGATATATATATATATATATATACATATATATACATATATATATATATATATATATATATATATATATATATATATATATATATATATATATATATTGCCTATACTTTTCCTTTTGTATGGGAGCGGGGGAGGGGGAGGGGGGGTGACACCATGAGGAGCCGCACCAGGTGATACCTGACTTAAGTGTTATACTGTCTACATTTTCAAATGTGTACATTCAGTTTACTTTAGAAAAAAATTGTGTTTTTCTCTATAAAACTTTTTGTTTGTATATTATATTGATTACAAATTCGTATTTAAAATATACTAGCCGTCCCGGCCAGGCCCTGCTCTGGCTTCTGTGAAAAACCTTTCTGTTAAAGACCATTACCTGTGTGTTTAGTAATCATCATAAACCCGGCATTGCCCACCCAAACCACAACCAACCAAAGCAACAAAACGCAAACATAACGCTAACACAATTACAAATACAAACGAAAACAAAAACCTAACAACAAACCCAACCACAATCACAAACACTAGTACAAACACAAAGAAAAAACAAACAAAAAAGCAAACGAAAACAAAAACCTAACAACAAACCCAACCACAACCACAAACACCAATACGAACACAAAGAAAAAAACAAACGAAAAAGCAAACGAAAACAAACCAAATCCAAACGCAAAACCAACCACAAACACAAAAAAAAACACAAACCCAAAGAAAAAAACACAAACGAAAACGAAAAAAGAAAGAACAAAAACGAACCAAATCAAAACGCAACCACTAACGCAAACCCAACCTAAACACAAAGAAAACACTAACGCGAACATAAACGCCAAGTGCTCACAGTCTAGCCCGGGGCAGAATTGCCTGTTTCAGCTTAATAATCGACTACAGTACCCCAACTTATTCATAGTCTTTTGCACTCACTTAAACGAACGTAGGTGCCAAACCAAACCAAATAAACAATTATAATACTCCAAGCTTATCCGTAAAATACCTACAACATTTGCACTTGATCAATCCCCGCTAATTATGTAATTATTTTTTTCCCAACACCAAAGCAAAGTAATAAAAAGTAAATTCTTTTCCACTAATGCACTGTTTTATAAAGGGAAGAAATTGTGTTTTCCTAATTTATCAAAGGGAAGTAAGTGCTAAAGGACTAAATATAAATAATTTTCAGACATAATTAGAATTTTTGTTATTTTTTAAAAATTGTGTTTAATGAACATGCCGACAATTATTACTATCAGTTTGAAAAATGAAATTTATTTCCCAACACTTTCAATAGTAATTTTTTAACTCATAAATTTAGACTATGAGCACGGTAATAGTCTAACACTTAAATCCATATAAGTATGTCAACGACAAACTTATTACATACAGAATTGAGCTTTATATATTAGATACTAGCTATAAGAATAAAAAATCTTAGAAATATATTTATGATTAGGAAGGCAAACGCGTAATAAAATTTTAAAGATATTTTGATTTCGACTTAGTTTAATTGTTGGCTTTGCTACAAAATCACATTTTATACCAGTCTTACTCGAAGAACCTGGATTCCTTAATTTCACGAATTTCTCCGTCATTAATATAATAAAGAAACACGTTTTCCCCCTTTAAACAGTGCTGTAAACAAGCGTTGATAAAACAGTTGATACAGTAGATAAAAGCTCCCAGCTGTAATTTAACAGAGAATGAGTTTTCACCTGTACCTAGCTGTGTACACAACGACCATTCTGGTTGTACTCACGTGTACACTCAACGTCAGCTGTCAGGACACGCGCGACAGGTGAGTTGTGTGTGATGTCAGGTGAGTTGTGTGTGATGACAGGTGAGTTGTGTGGGATGTCAGGTGAGTTGTGTGTGATGTCAGGTGAGTTGTGTGTGATGTCAGGTGAGTTGTGTGTGATGTCAGGTGAGTTGTGTGATGTCAGGTGAGTTGTGTGTGATGTCAGGTGAGTTGTGTGTGATGTCAGGTGAGTTGTGTGTGATGTCAGGTGAGTTGTGTGTGATGTCAGGTGAGTTGTGTGTTATGTCAGGTGAGTTGTGTGTGATGTCAGGTGAGTTGTGTGTGATGTCAGGTGAGTTGTGTGGGATGTCAGGTGAGTTGTGTATGATGTCAGGTGAGTTGTGTGTGATGTCAGGTGAGTTGTGTGTGATGTCAGGTGAGTTGTGTGTGGGTTGATGTCTGGTGAGTTGTGTGTGATGTCAGGTGAGTTGTGTGTGATGTCAGGTGAGTTGTGTGTGATGTCAGGTGAGTTGTGTGTGATGTCAGGTGAGTTGTGTGTGATGTCAGATGAGTTGTGTGTGATGTCAGGTGAGTTGTGTGTGATGTCAGGTGAGTTGTGTGTGATGTCAGGTGAGTTGTGTGTGATGTCAGGTGAGTTGTGTGTGATCAGGTGAGTTTTGTGATGGGAAATTTCTAAGAGAACATGGTCATTACATATTATATTATCCTGTCATATAGTTTCGGAATCAATAAAAAAGAAGAGGTAAATGTCCGATACACGTTACTGAGTCCATTCATCTCTGAAGGGTACCTGTCTCACGGTTAGGATCATACTGACCACAACATGTCACGTGCCAAGGTCACTGAAACAGGTGAACTCTACTTCACCACACCCATGGATATTAAAATTAGATAAGTTAAAATAAACTTATTTTTCCTAAGGATTGTGTGGATCTAATCACTTTTGGCGTTACATGAAATTGAAAGTGTTATCGGATCCATAACAATGTACACACTATTTGTCCCTAACCTATTTTCCCCCAATCATTCAGTGTCAGTCGTGAGGAGAAAAGGCAGGACAAAACACCGAAGACACAAGCTGTGACCAGTGAAAACGGTGAGTGTCACAATCAGTTGTATTACTCACACAAGTTATCGACCTTTGTGTCACTGACACAAGTTATCGACCTTTGTGTCACTGACACAAGTTATCGACCTTTGTGTCAATGACATAAGTGATGGACCTTTGTGTTATTGACACAAGTGATGGACCTTTGTGTCACTGACACAAGTGATGGACCATTGTGTCCGTGACACAAGTGATGGACCTTTGTGTCACTGACACAAGTGATGGACCTTTGTGTCACTGACACAAGTGATGGACCTTTGTGTCACTGACACAAGTGATGGACCTTTGTGTCACTGAAACAAGTGATGGACCTTCGTGTCACTGACACAAGTGATGGACCTTTGTGTCACTGACACAAGTGATGGACCTTTGTGTCACTGACACAAGTGATGGACCTTTGTGTCCCTGACACAAGTTATCGACCTTTGTGTCACTTACACAAGTGATGGACCTTTGTAGCACTGACACAAGTAAGGAACAATTATCTCACTGACCCATGAGATGGACAGTTTGACTGAACCAAGTCATGGACTGTAGTCTGATTGACCCTGTCTATTTACGATTTTGCAAGATACAAAAGATAATCAGCTATGTGATTAACTCATAGGACGGACTTTTGTCAACAAGATCCATAAGATGGATAGATGTCAAAATAAAAAAAATGACAAAAGTATATAGAAATACACAGGAGAATCTACAGACCTCATCGCAGCTTGTATTATAAGTTTTGATTTGATATATCTGTCTGTATCTCTAATCTTTTTCAAAAAGTAAGTATAATTTTACTAGAGAATAATTTTTACTAATTTAAACTCAGGTTTTTATTTTTTTAGGTTTTTGCGGAGGCTGTAATATAAATGAAACTAAAGGTAGGTGGAGACGAACACTAGCAAGAACACACTCTAGACTATATATATATATATATATATATATATATATATATATATATATATATATATATATATATATATATATATATATATATATATAAATATATATATATATATATAGTCTTCAACAAGTTCGTTGAATTCCAGTTTGTTTCCTCTAGATGTTTCATTATACAATCAACCAGTCAACGAAATACCCATATCATATTCCAATGTGTACAATAATTTGCTATTGCATGTCACTTGTATGACCTAAATCTAACAAACTTATAATCGAAACTGATCAATAGATAAAACATACACAGGCTGTCCTAAAAGAATAAGCACCTGTTATAAATTTCGGGGTCATCCGTAAATGACGTAACACTCGTAGGGGGGAGGGGGGGGGGGGGGGGTTCCGTAATTTTGTGACGATGTGTGATGAGGGGGAGGGGGGTCAGATGTTGCGACGTCACATTTTTGCATTGTAAAAAAGCAATGTTAGAAAACTAATTTTAGACGTTATTTCGCGTTTTAGATAACTGTTTTAATAAATTGTAATAGTTTAGACAAGATTTTGGAAAAATATCGATGTTTAAAAAAAATTCAACTGCAATTTTGAGGGGGTTGTAGGTTGAGGTGTGGCTTTTTGTGACGACGTGTGACGGAGGGGAGGGGGATGGTAAAAATCGTCAAAAAAAAATGTGACGTCATTTAAGTATGACCCCTTCCCTCTAAACTCAGATGAAATTTTTTTTTTCGGACATTACTAATCATTTTTTAAAGGATAATGCATCTTAAGGGGAATTTAATTGGCGTCGAGTGAAGTTTTAGGGAACGACAATCATTCAACCCTAAATTTTAATCTTTTCCGGACTGCCGCACACACACACACACACACACACAGACACGCACACACACACGCACACATACACACACACATATATGTATATGTCTGAGATCAATTGTCCATGGTATCATTTGTCCTGATATATTTTGTCCTGGTATCTTTTGTCCGTGAGATCATTTGTCCTTGAGATCATTTGTCCTGAGATCATTTGTCCTGTCACCATAT